AAATGTTTCAATTAAAAAGGAACGGAGAAAGTACTTTTGAAACACTGCCCTTCATAGCCAACAAAGTAGTTGTCCATAGTTATTTTACGAAGTATTGTAAAAACACTTCAATATTTCTTGTTTGTGTTTATTGCCGCAATATGCTGGTATTATTGTTAAATAAAATCTGAGTATCACTTAAACTTAAAGTCTTGAAAACACTTCAACAAATCAGTTTTTTTACGATCGTGTATTAGTTTTTTGTTAATTTGACTAAAAAATAATCAATGGTTCTTATTGTAGTCTAAGTGCAAGATGAGAGCAACCTGTTTTTTTTAATAAATCGTCACTGATGCATATATACAGAGTATCTTATTATGTACATTGGTCATTCATTTAGACTTTTCAATTATTTAAAGAGATAATTTTTCAATAAAACAAATACATCATTTGAAGTATCAGGCATTTGAAAACTGAGACATATAGAAGAAATGGGAGTGACCTTAAATCCGAAAATCAACTAAGCTGCTAAGCAGCAGTGTATCTACATCGAAATCTATGCACGCATACAGATACTTTCAAAGTTAATTTGCATCGGCAGCATCGATATAATATTTTTACATTAACAATATATTATGGAATATATACCTGATTATTTAATATCTTTGCAATGGAGCTACTTCGATCGTTGAGTACTTGAGTTATTGGAATTTTCTGCAACCAAAATTAATTATAAACCATGACTTAAAACACCATATAAATATTGATTGAAAAAGACACAAAGAGCAAATTGCAACAAATTTCTGTATGGGTAGCACTGTAGCACTCAGCTTTACTTTACTATATACGAAGTATATAGTACGAAATGGAGGATCTAATTTGTTTTGGAAGAACCATCTAGAACTACATTAATGCTTAGAGACTGGTTAAATGTAATAATTAATTGGCACGTTAAACTAAATAGTGGCTGCCAAACATTATTAATTATCTCATTATCCAAAATGAGGATAATATAACGTCTCTCGTGTCTTGAAACACCTATTCGGTTTGATTATTTATTATTTATGATGAGACTGGACTGCCGACATTGATACGCAGTATATTATTTATCCAACACTTCTTGGAAACATAATTGTTTGCCGACATTTAAATGGATATTGCTACTTGAATTGATTTTTCAATTGTTTTGGCAGACATATTTATGCACGAAGTTACTCCGTATATCTTCTTTGGCAAGCAAACTTTTGGCGGAACTTCTTTAACAAGAATCCTTTTGTTATTATATTAAGATAGATATGTTAAATATTTGTGTTATTTTTACTTTAACTAGTTTTTTCATACGCATGAATGCATAATGTTTGTCCTTCGATTTGACAAGTGCTCTACCCCTCCATTCCCCAAAGCCAAACAAACAGTTATGTTTGCATAGACATCTTTGTACGAAGTATTATACAGCGCGTCCTGTTCAACCAATTTGAAAGAGGATTCTTCTTGTTGTAACCACTATTGTACCCACTTTTGTATCCACCATGTCTTCATAGACATATTTTTGTCTATGACCGGGATTCACAGACAAAAAGAAAACTCCCCACAGTCTCACAGACACGGTGAGTACAAAAATGGATACAATAGTGGGTTTATTGTACATTTTTCCTTTGAAAGAACATGCCGTGCCAGGTAAAATTTCATTCAAATCAAATTATTATCAAGTCATATGATAAGTGTATTTATTCTCAATCGTATCATGCAAAAGCTGGATTTTTCTAATCTAATCACAACTTAGAAGACATGCCTATGTTCATTGCTATAAACAAATAAAACAAAAAAAAAACAAAATCATGCACCAGTAGAATAACCATTAGTGCCCTTGTAACCTGGTTGACCTTCTGCATTTCCATATTCTTCCTCTCCTCTTTTTTAAACCCACTATTCTCTTCATCTTCATCATCATCAGAATCCAATGTAAAATGCGAGCTGCTGCTAGCCATTTCCAGCTGCACCACCTCTGCACTAAGTGGTCCCTCAAAGCTCTATTGAAAATATTTTTTTTAAAAATATAATAACAATATTTTTTATTGTATTTTTTTATTAAAATATGAAAATTATTATAATAATTGTGTAGTTATATTTCGTATTAATTAATTATACTACCTCCGTCCCGCTATTAACTTTCTGCTTTCCTTTTTGGGACGTCCCAAAATTATCTTCTCATTTCCCTAAATAGAAAGTTTCTCTACATTAAAACAGTGTCAAACAGTGCAAAACAGTGCCAAACAATGCTAAACAGTGCCAAACAATGTCTAAACAGTGTCTAAACAGTAAAGTCAAATTTAATTCCTAAAAATGTATGTGAGGGTCAAAGTAAAAACTTAAAAACGGGACGGAGGGAGTATGTCCTTTAAGGTAATTTCGTATTATCCAGGCATTTTCAGCTCTTTTTGCCAAACGAATTTACTTCATTCAGCTAGTAGTTCAATTCAACACTTCTTAATTCAACTTCAAACAATAGTTTCTGATTCAAACAATAGCTCCTAATTCAAACATTAGCTTCAAGCTACAACTCATTGTGCCAAGCTTAGCCTTAGTCTTTTTGAATCATCCTTTTCAACTTCAGTCTTTCACAATCATCATCAACTTCAATCGTCATTTAATTATCATCATCAGCTCTATTGACAAGTCAACTTCAGTCTTTCACTCTTAGGGGGGAGCAAATCAGGTTTGGAAGGGGGGGGGGGGGAAGAAGTTTAGCCACTGTTCAGGTTAATCTACTTTAGGAAATAATTGTGTGTTTCGAAAGTTCAAAATTTTTAAATGTCTATAAATTTTTATTTGAATTGAGAGCTATCTTATCTTAAAAGTATGAGTAAAACACGTTTCTAACGATCAAACTGAATATAGGATAAACTAAAGAAGAAAAGAAGATTTGATTCAATACCACAATGATGTAAAAATTCAATACCACAAGTGTGAATGGAAAAAAATCTCACTTGTCTCTTAGGATGTGCGTGAATATCTAGTCTATTCATTTTGCTTAGGGTTTTGTGCCTATCCTCCAAACTTTACAGGGGTTAGATTTGTTACATAATAAGCCTATAAGAGAGACATTTGGGCCCTAATATGAGGCAGTCCATTGTCTAATTAGATAAACTAATTACACAAACAGTACTATATAAAACATAATTGGACACCATCAAAATTCTCTAACAATCCCCGTCTTGATATTCAATCATGTTCAATTAGCATTGCAGCGCGAGTATCTTTGTTTTGTGTTGAATTTGCAGTGTAGAGTAGAGGGTAGATGAGATTGGTTGAGTTGCTCATATTTTGTTTTGATTTTCAATGTAGTTCAACTTCCTTTGTCTTCTTCGAAAGACTTTCTGAAGAAATTCTTACAATCTCCCCTTTGATGTCTTTTGTCAATTTTTTCTTTGATGTCGGGGTTGAGGGATTTTTTCAAAATCTTGCTTTTAATTCTTACCTTTCAGAAATTGCTCTTGATCAACTTGAATAAAGTTCAGTGGCGTCTCTAGTATGAATGTTCTTGAAGGGTTTGAGGGGCACACATGATTAATCTTCAATATTTGAGTATCCGACCTCTGTCTCCTCTAGGAAGTAGCCTTTTGGAGTATTTGATGTGAAAGGTCTTGAGTGACAGTTGCCGACGACACAACGCAAAATGATGGTGATTCTTATCAGCATGTGCTGACCATTTGCATTGAAGTTTATTTGACAGTTATGATGAATCAGAGAGAGTAGAGTCGTCAATATTTGAGTTGGAGGAGAGAAGTGTCTGAGATCATTTTGAAGTTCTGAAGCATGTGGATCACTCTCCCCCTTATGACGGGATGACATGCCTTTATTCATCCTTTTATTCTGGGTAACAAAAACAAAAAGAAAAAAGAAAAACATTGATGTGTGGCCTGTACAACAACAACATCCAAGCCTTAGTCCCAAAAAATATTGGGGTCGGCTAACATGAATCGATACATGATATCACCATCAAAAGGAAAAGAAAGAAAATAAAGATAAAAAGATAATATAAAAAGAGATGAATATACCTAAAAACGATAAAATAATATGGATAAAAATAATGTTTATATATATAAGGATAAAAGAATAAAAAACAAGAAGAAAAAAAATCATTACAGTTCTAAGAGGACTTCATTTTGTGGTTCAATTTCTTAAAATTTGTTTTTCCAGTTTGCCTTTGCCATTGTACTACTTTTATTTTGAGCTTTGAGGGTATTATTTTTATTTCTCTTTCTGAAAAATTTGACATTTCTCAATCATTTTTGTCTTTGTGATAATTGTTTCAACGAGTTTCTTTGTGAATCTGATGATTACATTTTCTTTTCATTGCTCCTATTGTGTCTTGATATCGGTTCTACTAATAAGTAATAAGTGAGCTACGATCCCTCAAATGGAGAAACTACTTTTAGAACTGTGGGCGTAGCTCAACTGGTAGTGAGGGAGTGTCACAAGGGTTAGGTCTCGGGTTCGAATCCCGGCAACTGCGATGAGGGGTTACTATGCTGAAAAATGCATAGGGCCTCTGCTAGTACCGGGGACAGAGCCCCACTTTCTATCTGTCAGATTGTGATTATAGTCCAATTTACATCCTCCCAACATGCCGTCCGGTCGGTGTTGGGGGGCCCTCAGGGATGGGGTGTCATCTTTTTTTTTTTTTTGAGAAACTACTTTTAGTATATTTCCACAAATGGCTTATGCTCCCTCCGTCCCAATATAAAGAAAACATTTGTGTTTCCAAACATTTTTAGAAGGAACACTGTTTAGACATTGTTTGGATACTGTTTGACACTATTGACATTGTTTTGCACTATTTTGTTTATCAAAAATGGAAATATGCCTTTTATATTGGGACAACCCAAAAAGGAATATGTGCTTATAAGGCTTTTACTAATGACCACTAGTTTGAAGGAAAAAGAAGTTGCAAATACCGGTTACTTACTAATTTACCATAAAACCCGTGAAAAATCCAGAATAATTTTGTTGCGTTGACTTGGAAGACTAATGACTAATCTACGTTGGGCCCAACAAAAGCTTTGGTTAGTGGAAATTTTCTCTGGCTAAAACCAGACACAGTAGATCTGGTTGTGCCGTAACGACCACCGTACGGAGATGGCTTTTTCCTCCCGCCGCGGAGGGTGGTGGTCTCACTATCTCCTCCCCACCTCCAAGCCTTCAATGAAGCAGGCACGTAAATCCCGCAAACGGACAGCCATTAAAGACTTCCTGCTCGCCAACTTCTTCTCCATTGGCATCTCTCTGTGCTTTCTCTTTTTCCTGCTCATCATCTACAGCTATGGCGTTCCTAAACCACTGCTCTCCTCTCACTTCCGTTCCACCCGGACCCGTTTTTCCCGAACCCGTAAGCCCGTTTACAGGAAATCCCCAGCTGGCGATGCCGTTTCGGGGGCTGTGGTGGATATAACCACCAAGGGTCTATATGACAAGATTCAATTCCTTGATGAGGATGGTGGTGCTTGGAAGCAAGGTTGGAAGGTAACTTACAAGGGAAATGAATGGGATTCGGAGAAATTAAAGATTTTTGTTGTTCCACATTCGCATAATGACCCAGGTTGGATTTACACAGTTGAGGAGTATTATAATCGACAGTCCAGGCACATTCTTGACACCATTGTTGAAACACTTTCGAAGGTGAATTTTCTTTTGTTACCTCCTCACAATACAGATGTGGTGAATATAGGAAACTGACCTAGTGACCTGAATATCAATTTCACTTGGGTGTTCTGATTAGTGCTTCATGTTGCAAGGTTTAGTTACTGATCAAAAATTGCTCATGAAATTCTGATTCTCTGATGGTTACTTTTCCAAGTTAATTTTGGGGACATTTTGTTATGTTCCATTTCATAATGTTTAATGTGATTTCTTCCGCTAATCGTTCTGGGTATTGGTGTATAGGATGCTCGCCGCAAGTTTATATGGGAGGAAATGTCTTATTTGGAGAGATGGTGGAGGGATGCATCAGCTGCAAATAAAGAATCCTTCATCAGTTTAGTACAGAATGGACAACTAGAAATCGTAGGTGGTGGTTGGGTGATGAATGATGAGGTAAACCTGTGCTGTTAACGTAATGACACTTTTGCAATGGTATGCAAGTAATAATTTTTCTCTTCAAGTGCTGCATATTTCTTCCCATTGGGATCTGGGAATGGTGAACAGAAAGCCAAGTTTTTAACGAATTACAGTGTCGATTTGACATTTTTCTTAGTAAAATTTACCATAATGAATGAGTTCTAGGTTTCCAGCTTCTTTAAAAAATGGGTTTATTTGTCTGGTAACAGTTGATTAGCTGGTTTTACATGTAAAACTGTAATCATATTTGGTACTTGTGCTGGCGCGCGTTCGGAAAGCTAGACTAAAATAATAATCTTTTGGACACGTTATGTCAATTTTACTGGGACCCTTGGACCTTTAGAACTTTATTTGCATTTTGCTCTTCATATTTGGTTTTCTCGTCAAGGAATCATTTTCCTTGCAATTGTCTTTCAATCATCTGTGAATTTCTCTTGCTTGTGCACCCTGCAGCTTATTTTATTCCCTTTTTTTACAGGCTAATTCACACTACTTTGCAATCATAGAACAGGTAAAGTGTGTAATTCTCTTGTTTTAACTCACATTCTTCTTATTGATACCACTTACCGCCCAACTTTCCTTGCTTTGAGTTTCTAATTGAAAACTGAAGTAATAAGCTGAACAGATGATGCCAACTGGAGAATTAGATAGAGATTTATATGGGGCCCAAAATGTTGCAGTTCTCATTTACTGAGTTGAAAATTGTGACGTTGTTGCATAATGTATATCATCTCATTCTAGTTTCCATAATATGCTTTAAGTAAATCGTTCTTTTTAACTTTTTATTCATATTTAATAATTTGTAAACCCAGCGAAACAGCTGGGATTTCTTAATAACTATATATGTACTTAAGCATGCATATCACATGCTGTCCCTATAAGCTGTGCTAAGGATCTTGTTTTCTGAATCTATTACCAGATAACAGAGGGTAATTTATGGCTTAATGAAACTTGCGGTGTTGTTCCAAAAAATTCGTGGGTGATAGATCCTTTCGGATACTCTCCAACAATGGCATACCTTTTTCGTCGTATGGGTTTCGAGAATATGCTCATACAGAGGACACATTATGAATTGAAGAAGGAACTGGCTTTGTACAGAAATTTAGAATTCGTATGGCGGCAGAGCTGGGATGCTGAAGAAACAACTGACATGTTTGTTCATATGATGCCCTTTTATTCATATGATATTCCACATACTTGCGGGCCTGAGCCTGCAATATGCTGTCAATTTGACTTTGCTAGAACCTATGGCTTTACGTATGAGCGCTGCCCTTGGGGAGAATATCCACAGGAGACCACACCAGAAAATGTTAAAGAAAGAGCACTAAAGCTGCTGGATCAATACAGAAAGAAATCAACACTATATCGCACAAATACTCTTCTTATTCCCCTCGGAGATGATTTCCGCTATGTCACCGTTGATGAGGCTGAAGCTCAGTTCAGGAATTATCAGCTTTTGCTTGATTATATCAATTCTGATCCGGACTTGAATGCAGAAGCAAAATTCGGTACCTTGGAAGATTATTTCCGGACTCTTCGTGAAGAGGCTGATAGGGTAAATTACTCCCGTCCAAATGAGATTGGGTCTATTGAGATTGGTGGGTTTCCTTCTCTTTCAGGCGATTTCTTCACATATGCTGACAGACAGCAAGATTACTGGAGTGGTTATTATGTTTCTCGACCTTTCTTCAAGGCTGTTGATCGTGTGTTGGAGCAGACCCTCCGCGGTGCTGAAATGATGATGGCTTTCCTATTAGGTCATTGTCAGAAACCACAATGTGAGCGGTTACCTACCGGATTTGCCTATAAGTTAGCAGCGGCTAGGAGGAACCTAGCGCTGTTCCAACATCATGATGGGGTTACTGGTACAGCTAAGGACCACGTAGTTAATGATTATGGGGTGAGAATGCACATAGCTTTGCAAGATCTTCAAATTTTCATGTCAAAGGCCATAGAGGTGTTGCTTGGGATTCGCCACGAAAAGAATGAACAGAACCCATCTCAGTTTGAGCCTGCACAAGTGAGATCTAAATACGATGCTCAGCCAGTGCATAAAGCCATGGCTGCTCATGAAGGGACAGTCCAGACTGTGGTGATATTCAATCCACTAGAGCAGACAAGACATGAGGTTGTGATGGTAATTGTTGACAGACCGGAGGTGACAATCCTGGACTCAAATTGGACATGTGTGAGAAGCCAGATATCTCCAGAGATGCAACAACACTACAGCAGCAAGGAGGATGAAACATTATTCTCTGGTAGACATCGTGTATACTGGAAAGCTTCGGTCCCCCCGTTAGGGTTGCAAACTTATTATGTCGCTAATGGGTTTGCCGGTTGTGAAAAGGCCATACCAACAGAGGTCAAATGGTTTGTGCCTTCTTCCAATATTTCTTGCCCCAAACCATATACTTGCTCAAGAATGGAGGGTGAAGAAGCAATAATCAGTAATCGGCATCAGACGTTGACATTTAGCATGAAGGAAGGATTGTTACAGAGAGTTAGTCATACCAATGGCCGCCATAATGTTGTTATTGGGGAGGAAATAAGTATGTACTCTAGCACTGAGAGTGGAGCTTACCTATTCAAACCAAACGGCGATGCTCAGCCCATTTTTGTAGCCGGTGGGTCGATGGTTATCTCGGCGGGCCACTTGGTGCAGGAAGCTTACTCATTCCCAAAGACACAATGGGACAAAGCTCCAATTTCCCATAGCACCCGCATATATGATTATGGTGGTGGTGACAGTTCCTCGATACAAGGAAATGTCATCGAGAAGGAGTACCATGTGGAGCTTCTTGGCAGTGATTTTAACAACAAAGAACTTATAGCTAGGTACAGAACTGATATTGACAACCAAAGGGTTTTCTATTCTGATTTAAATGGGTTCCAAATGAGCCGTAGAGAGACGTATGACAAGATCCCTGTTCAAGGGAACTATTATCCAATGCCATCTCTTGCTTTTATGCAGGGATCGGATGGTAGACGCTTCTCCGTCCACACCCGGCAGTCCCTAGGTGTGGCAAGCCTTAGAGATGGATGGTTAGAGATAATGCTGGACCGGCGATTGGTGAGGGATGATGGGCGTGGTCTTGGACAGGGGGTGATGGACAATCGGCCAATGAATGTTGTGTTCAACATCCTTGTAGAGTCTTCTTCGAACGCTTCAATAGCTCCTGCAATTACTAATCATCACCCTCTAAGCCCTTCCCTTTTATCTCATCTCATAAATTCCCACTTAAACTACCCCCTCAACACATTTGTAGCCAAGAAAGCACATGAAATCTCTGTACAGCCTCCCCCAAGATCCTTCTCTCCACTGGCATCCAACCTTCCATGTGACTTGCACATCCTAAGTTTCAAGGTTCCTCGCCCTCTAAAATATTCCCAGCAGCCCCCACTTGAGGAAGAGCCTAAGTTTGTTCTCGTCTTCCAGCGGCGGCATTGGGACTCCTCGTATTGTCGGAAGGGTGGCAGGTCTGATTGCTCAAGTGTGGCTGATGTGCCAGTTAACCTATTTGACATGTTCAAGGGTCTTACCGTTTCGAATGCAAAGCCCACATCTTTGAATCTGTTGCATGAAGACACAGAGATGCTTGGTTATAAGGGGCATTTTGCAGATGGTGCCCGTGAAGGTCATGTCCTCATCTCTCCCATGGAAATACAGGCTTACAAATTACACCTACGACCAAATTAGCCAGAGAGTAATTTTTGAAAATTTCTTTGATCAAAGTGCTTTTCTTCTTAAGGAGGTTCAGAGGTACTCTTCATGATAGAGACCAAGGTGGGAAAATCAATATGTTTCTGAAGATTTTTTTTTTTGTATTCTATAGCTCCTTATATATGAATATATAATCACCAAGATGTCTTGCAGGTTTCATTGCCATAAAGCAATGACAACTTTTCTTGAAGAAAATAAAAGATTCAGGGTACATGGGCAATTTTTAAATCCATCTAAACTTTTTAGCCTTTCAAGATTGAAAAATATATTGAGGAACAACATTGATATATAATTTGATATTTTAATCAAAATCTTGAAATAATATATTTTTCACTTCTGGTTTGGACATAACAAATTAAACATGACTATCTGCTATAAGGAAACATATATGCTCTTCACCAAGAACGAGAACACCTGTGTAAAAGCTTCACTCCTCCCCTTGGGAAATATAGAGCCTTTTACACGCTGTAATTAATACATTTTTTTTTTCATTTTGAAGGTGTTTGCTGACTGGAGTCCAGGTGGTGAGAAAGTTTCCTCTGGTGGCAAAGACAGACTTTTGAACCTATGTATGGGGTTAACATGTTGTATTTATATGTCACACAATCTCACCGATAAAATTTTGGTCCTGTTGGGTTACGGTTTGAATCTAAAGGTCTTATAGTGTGAGCACAAGCAAATTAGTCCTATCTCCTTCCATAAGAAAAAAGTTCCGTATTTATAGAGCCCGTTTGGTAGCACCAAAATCGGCTGTTTTGGCTGATTCTGCTGAAATTTATGATATTCTGGCTGGAGTGGCTGTTTTGGCTGATTCTGCTGATTTAAGAAAAAAAAAATTTAAAAATATATTTTATTAATAAATTAAAGAAAAAATTATATGTAAAAATAGCTAAAATGATCCTCTACAGTAACTTCAGCCAATACAGCCAGAAAAGTAACTCCAACCTTACTTTTTCGGCTTATTACACAATTCAGCGCGCGAAAGTAAAAGTTACGTGTTTGGTGAAAAAGCTGGCTGATAAGCCTGATAAGCCGAAAACAGAGTTCTCTAAACGGGCTCATAGTTTTGTGACATTTTAATGAAGGTGATGGTGGCAACAACATGTTGGCTGCATAACGCGATTGGTAGCGGTATTTTTTTTTCATTAGATAGATTTAAAACAAGTGTTATTGAATGAAGAAAGGTTGCATGGTTTAGAGTATTAGTAGGCAATTTATATCTAGAATGTCAGATGAATTAAATCTATAAAAAAATCTCACGTCAAGTGGTAGATAATAGTCGAAACATAAACAAGTCAGACTATGGAACAAAAAAAGATGCCCCATATTTAGAAACGAAAAATGATCGCAAATCTATGGTCAAATATTACTATATTTAAGTTATATCCATGAGTAAAAGATTATCCTTTATTAATAGCCTAGCTTATTTATCTAGTTCTTAAACATCACTAGATTCTCACCCGCGCGATGCGCGGGATATTAAAATGTAATAGCGATGCGACAATATTTGATAAAATTACTCGGTCGTGTTATGTGTATGGAAATTGTTATAGACGTGATATGCAAAAAAAATTATAATTAAAGATCGGATAGTGAGAACTCATAGATAGGTAGTAAGTATGTTTTAGAATAAGTAGATAAAAGTAAATGCTATACAGGGGTTCACAATCTACACATTGCGAAACACTTCCTTATAAACTACATTGGTGGTATGGTCAGTTGACTGACCATCTTCACCGCAGATCAATATCTTCAAACCCTTGGGATTTGTTACCCTTGACACTGCAACATACAATTGACCATGCGTGAAGACGGATTTCTTCAATAAGAGTCCAACATGGGACAAAGATTGTCCTTGACTATTATTTATAGTCATTGCATAAGAGGTCATGACTGGAAACTGTCTTCTCTGAAACTTGAACGGTATTCTTGTATCCGAAGGAGTTAAGCTCAACCTCGGAATGACAACCTCATGCCCGGCATATTTTCCGCCCATTATTTTTGCCCCTAGGATATGATTTCCAAGTCGCGTAACAATTAACCTTGTTCCATTGCAAAGCCCCATTGAAGGATCAATATTCCTTAAAAGCATGATTGGAGTACCAACCTTTAGGGTTAACTCATGGTTTGGAACTCCGGATGCACGTATTTTGTTCAGAAATTCCGGAGTGTGCAAATCAGCCAGAAAATCGGCATTGGAGTCTGACTTGCAAATGCTATCTGAACTTAAATATGTCCTTGACTCTTCACTAACATTCAAAGATGTCATGTATTCATTAATTGCATCCACGACATCAAGGGTTGGAGCTAGAATTGCACGCTTTTGCAAGTAAGATGGGTCATTGACAATTTTTTCAAAGTCTGGATAGGTGCTTTGAACAATAGTGGCAATGGGGTCGCCACCACAATGTAACAAAAGGTGACTTGGAATTTGGACATTGGCAAAGCCGTCATTATCTTCTCCCGCAGTCCCGTCTCCCAAACTCGCAATCCACTTTGCAAATTCCACCAAATCTTCATATTCACGATCATCAGTCAATGATTGCAACCTCATGTTCTTCGTCAAACGCAATACAATGCATTCACGCCAAATATAGGAAGAATTAATAGTTGCGTTGATGATGTCTTGTCTAGTACCTTTTGTTATAACTGGTAAAATTTGTCTGAAGTCTCCACCGAATACAACCGTTTTCCCTCCAAACGGCTTTTCAGCACTATTTGAATTAGTGAATCTCAGGATGTCCCTCAAACTTCTATCTAGGGCTTCGAAGCAATACTTGTGCATCATCGGCGCCTCATCCCATATGATGAGTTTGCAACGAATTATCAATTGCGCTAGTGGACTTCCTTGTTTGATGTTGCACGTGGAGTTCTCATTTGGGTTGATAGGTATGGCAAAGCGTGAATGAGCTGTCCTACCACCTGGTAACAGTAAAGCTGCTATGCCACTCGAAGCAACATTCAAAACAATTTCCCCCTTTGACCTCAAAGCAGCTGACAACGTTTTCCACACAAACGTTTTCCCCGTACCCCCATAACCATATACAAAGAATACCCCACCATTATTTTCTTCAATACATTGCATAATGGTAGTGTAGACCTGACGTTGTTGATCATTGAGACTCTGTATGCATCTGTCATGCTCTTCACATAAGGCAACACGATCGTATTGCAACTCGTCAAATATTAGCCTATTCTGATACAGAACAGCATCGCTTATTGTGGGAAATGGCATGGATGGATAGTCCTTTAAGCTCCTGCCCATTCTCCTCAACATCATTTCTATTTCAGTCAATGCATAGTTCTTAATCTCAGCTTCAGTCAACTTCAAATCTAATAGTACATGCATTAACAGAGTAATATCAAAGAACATGTGTAATATATGACAAATAGTTTTAAATATATATAATGTATAACAAATTGTATGTGGAAAACATCAATTGTTTAGTACCTGGATGCATTAAAGCTCTTCTTTGCCTGTGCAGAATGTCATCCGACATAAATGTCCAACACTTGTCCCAAACGTATTCCGGTCTACTCATTGTATCTGCTGCCAACAAAATCACAAACAACTTTCTAAGGCCCCACGCGGTAGCCCAAATACTACCTTCTGAAAATCCTTCAACATACTCCTTGTCATCGTCCAACAATCCTAGAGCGAAACATGCATCGCGATATGTATTATGAATAATCCCATCCACAGTTTTCAAATCATCATAGCTTGTAGCCCCACGCCTCAAATTAAGGACACATCGCAAATAATAAGATTCTCCCGATCCCGGAGGCACATACGTGAGACGACCTATTGCAAACCCTTTTTTTCGAGGCTGAAATTCTCTTGTTTTTGCTTTCCAAACAAATTTTTGAGGGAATTCAGCATAAGTTAAATCCCTTGCCTCAGGGTACTCAGCATTTGCTCTCATCCATGCAAGAAACATACTCTCCCTAACAGATTCACGCAACACGACGTCGCTTACTGCCGCACCATCTTCAAAATAAACATATTGTTCATTGTGAAAGTGAAAGCCCAGACGTTCCACAGATGGATTCTTATACTGGATCTCAAATCTAAATATTCTCCACATTGCCTCACATGGAGAAATATAACGACAATCATAGTACAACTTTATTTCATCAACAGGTTTGTCAGTGTCATCTTTACTTGACGTTTCATAAAAACCTGCTGTGACACGATCGTGTCCCTTGTTAACGTATTTGAATAAATACTTTATGGACCTCGATTGGTTACACCACTCTACATTCAGATGAGCACCGTACCTCATCAATAACGACCTGTTGTGGGGGACAACATATCTATTGTCAAGAGGCACACCACCCCTCACAATTGTTCTTCCATCATTCCTTCTCCTATATTTAGGATAACCCTCTTCATCAATGTTAGTTTGTTCGTTGAAGTTCTTCGGGAAGTGCTTTGAACATTTAGACTGAACCATGCAAGGGGCATTCCTTGCATCACTACCACATGGTCCGTGCATCATATGCGTGCATACTGCTTTGAAATATTCAGGATCAACCCTCTCGTCAGGTATTTCAGCTGATATAATGCGGTCAATGTCTGCTGGGGTGGGAAATTTGTCTTCATTTCCCATGAATAATAAAATATGAGCATGCGGTAACCCACGCTTTTGGAATTCAACCGTGTAAATCACTGCGATCAGTCAATTAAATAATGTTGGATCACACACACACATATAAATGGTAATCTTTATGAATCATTACACATGATATTTAATATACCTGCTCGAATTTGTCCAAACAGCTTACTTTGTCTTAGATATTTGATCAAGCCATCCAGCTTCATCTTAAACACTCGACAAACTATATCGGGACGATCTTCAGGGTTCAAATTCCTTGAAGAAAGGAAGCTATTAATTTCAGGCCATCTTGGGTTACATGTGAAAGTCAAAAATAGATCTGGGTACCCTGCCCATCGACAGATAGCCATGGCATCCTGATAATTTTGAACCATGTATCGAGCACCCCCAACGAATGTAGGTGGAAGGACAACTCGTTTGCCTTGTGTTGACGCATCTCTCTCACCCCTTAGCAAAGCATCTGACAGGCCTTTGTACATTTCACACCTAAGTTCTTTTTGATGGGTTTTAATATACATTAGCCTTGATGACTCAACCATCGTGTATCCGTCAACTGTGAGTTGTTGGAACAACCTCTTACTCTTAAGGATGAAAGAGTCCTCGGTTGCCCGTTCATGAAACTTGTAAGAAAGAAACTCTCTAATGCTAACACTTCGTCGACAGCCTGTGTTTGACAAACTTTCATCAGAAAAGGGTATATCCTCCCTATACCCATCCTCACCATACGGAAACAAAAGTGGATATTGCAATCCCAAATATGCCGGATTTAGCTCATTTATTCTCTTCAAATACCCCCCCTGAGTTTCAACCATTATGTCTCTTTGCCCCAGTGATTCATCAAAATCACCTACCACTAATGCCGCTACCTCTGAAACCGTTGGCAAATTGTAAGTTCTGGCATCCTTGGTTCTCCTCCCTATTAACTTCAGGGATACTTTTGTTTCCCCGCCCTCAGCTAGTTTATCTCTGACCATTCGAAAGGACTTGACCAAAACATTATGTTGGTCTAACATTTCCCTTAATTTAGACACAATATGAGCATGCAAATTGTTCTTCTTTTCATCATCCCTAAATCGATATAACCAAATAACATA